GCTGTGCTTTGGGAATATGACTTTGGTAGCTGTGTGGAGAAAGAAGAGACGAGGTAGGAAGATCAAACAGGAGACTATGACTGTAGCCTTCTGGTCAAGGGCTGATGAGATTCTGAACTAGAGCGATGGCCAAATGAGTGGAGAGGAGGGGACTAATGCTCCTTCTGTGGGGAACAGGACAAGGTACTGAGACGAAAAATGGAACTAGAAATCACCACTATAGCAGTCTGCCCAGGAGAATCAGAGGGAGAGGTACCATGCCAAGGACCTGAGGGCCAGTTTGAGGTTAGGATTTTGAAGCAAACAGATAAGAACAGAATTGGGAAAGATACAGAGAACCAAAATTGGGAATGGGGCTGAAAACACCAGAGAAGGTAGTCAGGCTATGGAAACTGTGGGACATCTCTATGTTCTCTGAATAAGGACAACATAGGCAAGCCCTTTCCATTCTGTCACTTAAAGAGGCACATCAGCTCAGCTCAAAGTCTCGATGCTGACCCTGTAAGGACATGGTCTGGACAAAATGCAATTCCCCCTTCTTGAGGTTAAGTCCATTTGGGATTCATAAGAGATGACGATGTTAAAGCATTGGTACTGGAGCCTGGGGTTGAGTCCTGTTCAAAGGCTCATTGTGAGCCTTTGAATAAAACAGTTGGACTAGATGATCCTACCTGTGAAGCTTATTACCCATGTGACCTTGGGCAAATCATTTAACCGTCTTTATCAATGAGAATGAGGGGGTCAGATGAGATGGATTCTCAGGTCCCTTATAGCTCTACAGCTATGATTCTATGGGTATATCCTTAAGGTCCCTTCCAAGGCTACATCTTAATAATGCTATGAGCGGAGTTGTTTTTTTTTTTTAAAGTAAGACTAAACACAAAGTACTTATTTCATTTCTCTTTTAGAAGACATAAGTCAAAAAGCAGCAAGTACTATGCTTGGCATTTCATCTTCTTCCATTCTGATATGTTTCTGTGGGAAGTGATGGTTTCTGTCACCATTCCAAAAACAACCTAACCTCGCCTCCTACACTCAGGGAGTGGGATGAATGGAGTGATGCTTTTTTTTTTTTAAAGGAAATGTTGCAAGCTTAATGGAGACCACTTGATTTCACACAAAGTTAATTCCTCAGATCTGTCAAGAGGTGATTGGAGCAAGATGATTAAAATCATTTTAAACCCACACAGTTAATAATACTTCTATTAAGGCTCAGACATCAAGCTATCATTCCCACTTACTTCCTAGAGGAAAAAATCTCACAAAAGACAAGCTCATTGGAGTGGTTTGGGGAGGCTGAGGGTGTTGGGGGTCTGTCCTGCCATTTAGCAGCACACTCTGAGCTGGGCTAGAGTTAACTAGTTTACAAGCTGATACCAAAGTGGAAGAGTTGGTTTCTTTGCTAGAAGTCCTGCTATGGGTAGGCTGCATGCATTGGAGTTGTCTTAATGATAAGGAAGGTCCCTCAGAGTGAAAAAGGCTGATGAAATTTCCCTTATTCAAATGACCTCAAGATCAGCATAGAAGGACTTAGTAATACACTGTTGTTTTTTTCCTCACTTCTGGCAATTCTAGCTCCCCAGCTGCATGACCCTGAGATAGACAGAGAATCTTAGGAGGAGAGATGGAAAACACATCAGAAGCTTTCTAGTGGACACTCCTCATTCTACAATAAAGAAAGAGACATATAGAGAGATTAAGGGTTTTGTCCAAGATCACTGGTCTTCTAACTCCAGACACAATGCTCCTTGCAAATGCTTCCTATCTCTCTCTATTTGTTTCCTCATCTGTAAAATGAGGTTAATAACACTTGCATTACCTACCTCATGGTGATCTTTTTAGGAGTTTCATAAACCTTAAAAGTGCTACATAAATGTTAGCCACTAGCTATTACTAAAGTGTTACACAGACATGACTTTCTGATAACCTATTACTAATAACTTTCAAGAAATTCAACCTTCAAGACCTCCTCACAGGATGGTTTCTTAGTGACTATGTCAGTGAAGCTCAGACTCTGCTAGGTGCGATGCCAAACTGGAAAAGGACGAGAGCTGTCATCCAAGGACTGCTTAAATTCATGAAGGTTCATTACCAGGTTGGCTGCATAGCAAAGAATTCTGGAGGCATAACTCCTCCTGAAGAGCATGAACTAAACTGTAGTGGAGGGAACACTCACTTTGACAAAACTCCCCATCCTTACAGGAGGGATGGACCACTCGGACCAAGAAAAATAACCACAACACACTCTATTTGGCTTACTCAGTTCTAATGTCCATGGTCATTGATGGGGGTCCCTCACATGGAATCTTCTTGAATGAAGGTATGGTTTCAACTCACCATGCTTCAAATAATCCACTGAAGAGATGTCAGAAGACACCCTCAACCTACCCCTTTGTAGAGGTGGGAGGTCCACAAGTGTTACACACTGGATGAGTTTTCAGACTTTCTGCACACTATTAGTGTGTTGTGCTGACTTTCTTCCCCTTCTATTTACTATACTATTTGCATTATGGGGTGGCTCTCAGAGAAGACGAAGGAGACATGGGATACTATGGTGATGTAAGAAACAGAAAACGTCAATAATTTTTTTTTAAAAAAAAATCAAATAATCCGGCAGTCCAAACTCATCACAGACTTTTAACTTTCCTTTAACAAGATAAAGAGGGCCTCCAACCCTCCAAAGCACATAGAAACAAGCAAAGTCCTACAATCTACTGTGGCTTCAGGGACACATCTCAACAGACCACAGAAGCAGAGAACAGCCGAGATGGAGGGGACAACAGAGACCATCTAAGTCAATTCCCCCATTTTCCTGAGGAGTAACTGAGACCCAAAGAGGTGTAGATATTTGCCTAAAATGCCAGAGCTGGGTTAGATCACAGGCTTCTTGACTTTAACGTTAGACTTCTGCATATCTTAGCTATCCTTGTTATAGTTGTTGTTCAGTCGTATCCAACTTCATGACCCCATTTGGGGTTTTCTTGGCAAGGATACTGGAGTGGTTTACTCTTCCTTCTCCAGCTTATTTTACAAATGAAGAAACTGAGGCAAACAAATTTAAGTGACTTTCCCAGGGTCACACAGCTAGTAAGGGTCTGAGGCTAGATTTTAACTCAGGAGGATGAGTCTGACTCTAGGCCTGGCACTCTGTCCACCATGCCATCTAGTTGCCCCTAGCTATCCTTAGCAATATCATAATTATCAAAGGATATCTAGTTTACCCTACCACTGTTTGGAATAGGGGAGCATTATAAATCACCCCTCTTTCACTTGGCTCCGACCAGAGCAATAGGTCTTAGGAAATTAGGCCCCATTGAATCATATGACTGGCTTGAGGAGGCAGCTTTCTGTTACTAGGTGAGACGGGCCTCCTTGATTCAAAATTACCTCGTCCCTTGAAAGCTCCCAGATCGGGGACAGGGACCATAAAACTTTCTCCACAAAAAAAGAAGGCTAAGATCACTGATAGGTATGCAGACAGTATCCTTTGAGGGATGTCCTCCTGCCAGCTACAAACTCCATACAAACAGCCCAGAGTAACAACAGTATTCAGAGAAGGGACACAAACCTCACAGTTTTATACAAACTTATAATTCAAAGAGTGCTTTTTGCATAGGACGCCAGTGCAGTAATTAGGTGCAAATGTTAGGTTTTTGTTTTTCTTTTATACATGCAGAAACAACAGAGTCTCAAAGATTTTCCCCAGGCTGCAGAGCTGGGCAGTCAGTCAGTCAGTCACAAAGCAAAAACTAGTGTTTTCCACATCTACTGCTCTGTTCACTACGTTCAACTACCTCAGCTTGCTAAGGCAGCTGGGCACCATGAGAGATGGTAACCAGCAACGTGTGGGGGCCACCTGCTGGCTCTGGGAGCACTTGCTCATAGGGAAAGGGCTCTCTTCTTCCTCCCTGAGGCCCTGAGCACTAACAGCTGCGGCCCTGTGTGTTTCCCTGGGGCTCTGGTTCTGGGCAGAGCTGTGAGAATACACACTTTCAGCATCAAGTCAAACACAGGCTTGACAGTGAGTGAACATTTCTGTTTTGCTGAATGTTCACCTAAATCATACCCATTTGCCAGTCCCTCACCAGACTGGTGACATAGTGAAAGGGACACCACTCACCAGAAAAGTGGCATAGTAACTACCACAACTGCCTTAAAGTGAACAATGAGGATCAGATGGCACTCACTGGTTCCTCCTTGTCCACACAGTTATTTCACTGTTCAGTGAACTAAGGAGGCATTATTAGTTTGCTCGTCTGCTCATCAGTGAAGATATATTTGAATTTTCTCTAGCATGCCTAAACCACACACACACACACACACACACACACACACACACACACACACACACACGTGTACATGCACTCATGCATACCCCTTATCAGTTGGTAATAAGAACTCAGTCAATCTCACCATGTAACATTTGTAATCAGAGGATAGAGTTATACACAAAACTGATAAACGAACAGTATTTACAATAGAGCCTAATGAAATGTGTGTTCTTTCATCTTGGGGACATTAGTGTCTAGAATACTGCCTTCTGCATAGTAGGGACTCAACAGAGAATTTGCCCTTTAGCCCCTGTTTGGTCTGCTGCCATACTATGTGACCCCCTGATTTGAAGGTGTTGGTGGTTTGTTTGTTTTAACATACAATGAGAATGATAAATGTCATCAAAGACCTCATTTGGTCACTGTTCTAATGGCCTGTTGCAGCATTCACATTGTGTTACTGAGCTCCCCATTAAGATGGGAAGAAACTCAGTTATGACCTAACTCAGGAGCATGGAATGTGTGATCAGGTCAGTGGGGATGAGGAAAGATCCTGTGTCGTAAACCTTCTCTGAAGGCCATCAGCAGCTAGTACAGAACCTCTTGAGAAGCAGCTAAAACCTTGGTAACAAAGGGTTTCAGAGACGTGGTCTCAGCTGATTTAAGGAGGGGGTCCTGCAGAGGTTTCCATTTTGGGTCAAATGAATCACAGGATGGAGTCAGAGTTACCTGTCAGATCCGTTCCAGGCACATTCAAACTTGTCAAAAATGCAGTCATTTTCATACAGGGAACACAGCTTGCTCCTAAGGTAATCGTGAACCTGTTAAGAGAAAATGGACCTGGTTATTCTCCAGTGGAATGTGGATGATTTGTTATAATTCAACATCCCTCCAATGCCATAACTAACATTTGTGAAGTGATTTCTTATCCAAGCGCTTCCCTTTACCATGACTCTGATAGATAGGTAGCACAGGTATAATTTCTCCCATTTTACAGATGAGGTAAATTGTGAGTCAAAGAAGGGAGCCTCAGTTGGAGGAGATTTATCTCTTTTCAGATTTTTCACAGCTGTGAAACTGGAGCTCTGGATCTAAATCTAGAACCAGAACTGGAAGGGACTGCAGAGGCTTGTTTGACCCAATCCCTCACATAACAGATGAAGAAACTGAGGCCTATGGAAACAGTGACTTGCCCAAGGTTACACCTCTTCATTTATGATATTCTAACTTTTCTTACAGTTATGTGTATACATGGGCATACTGAGATCTTTTCACCTTGAAGAGTGCATAGTTCTAAAATCCTTTGAGTCTAAGATGCTATGATTCTGGCAGGGCTTACTAATAAGCAAGTCCCTCTGACCTCTCCTGGGCTTAAACTCAGTTGAACAGAGCATGCCATAATGGAAAAAAAGCATTGGATTCTAGAGCCTTCTATGATTTTATGTCTTTGACTCTGTGATTTTATGATTCTGAATTTCCAATATCTTAAGATTCTATAACTCTAAGATTTTTAAACTTCCTGTGATTCTAAGATCCCGTGAAGGTAATGGCACCACTTTACGTCAATACCATCTGGTTCTTGAACTTGACTCCTGGCTCTGTTCACCAAAGGCTTACATGAGAAAGCATCATTGTGTTCACTTACACCAAGATCCTAAACGGAAATCTAGTCTGATAGAAAGGCACTTGTAAGTTGATTAATTACAAGTCAACAAACAGATTAGTAGTTAATTGCACATCTAATGAAAATGGCCATGGAAATAAAGTACATCTTGCTGTCCTATTTCTGTGTGGATGGGCCATTACACTAAGACACAGTGCATCACACTAGCTTATCTCTCTCCAAAAAATATGTGCCCAGGATAACAGAGCTGAGAGCCAAATTACTTGGCATGTATTGGATGCATAAAGGAAACCATAGGCAGTGTGGGATGGCGGAAAGAACCCAAGATTAAGGGTCACAGTCACACAATGTTAGATCTCAAAGTCCCCCCAGTGGTCAAGTCCAACTCCTTTTTACAGAAGAGAAAACTGAAGCTCAAAAGATGGAAAAATGACTTGCCTATCATCACACAGCGAGTCAGCGTAGTATGGCTAGCAGTAATTTTAACTCTCTTTCTTTCTATTATGCCAGGCTCTGCTGAACTGAGTTTGAGCTTGAGAGAAGCCAAAGGGACTTGCTTAGTAAGCCCTGCCACTGATTAGGGGTATCATTATAACCTCACTGAGCCTTCATTTCCTCATCCATAAAATCGGCATAATGATACCTACCCTGTTGACATCATGGTCTGTTTTAAGGATCAGAGAAGATAAAACAGGTAAAAACAAGAACATTGTAACTGAAAAATGCTCACATAAACGCAAGCTGCTGCTACTACTGTCGTGTGGATTCTATGTGATACATCTAATGTTCCGAAAAGATTTTGAGTATATATAAAGACTTTGTGTGTGTGTGAGTGTGTGTGCGCAGACATGTACATGTGCATATATGTGTGCATGTGTGTGTGTGTGTGTGTGTGCAAGAGCGTATCCAGGGACAGACTGTGTACCTAGCATCCCACTATCACTTGTCAAGAATATTAGGGAGGAGTTTCCTTTTCAAGCTGACGGCAGGAATATATGTTTTTATTCTTGTATCTCTAGCACTGAAAGGCCTTTTACACTGTAGGTATTTAATAAATGTCTGCTGAATTAAAGGTAAAGTTGGATTGGGTGACCTCAGAGGTCCCGCCAACTGTGAGATTCCATGTCAAGCCTAGATAAGTTTGGAAGACATGTTGAGAATGAGCCTGTAACAGCTAATGTTTATATAGCATTCACTACATGCCAGGCACCATGCTAAGTGCTTTATAATTACTATATCATTCAATCTTCACAACCACCTTGGGGCATAGGTGCTGTCACTATCCTCATTTTACAGATGAGGAAACTGAGGCAAATAGGGGTTAAGTGAAATGCTCAGGGTCACACACAGATAGTGTCTGAAGCCAGATTTGAACTTATATCTTCCAGACCCCAAACCCAGTGCTCCATCCACTGTGCTAACTTGCTGCCCGTACCCAGGTAGATGTCAGTTTTTTCATCACTACCTATTCAAAAAACTGTCCCAAGAGGAGCTGTGACCTGTATCAATGTGACAGTGCCCATACCAATCCTTGAAAAGTTGTAGCACTAATATCACCCCAATTACAAAAGGGACTTTTTCAAAAGATGAACTCAAAACCATGATTTATAAGAAACAAATCCATCTCTGGCCTTCCTTCCAGAAAACCCTGCTTTCTACAGCTTCTGTCTCTGGCAAGACTCCTCATCACTTCACAATGACAGTGGCAAACATTCCTTTCTAGAGAGGGCACATTTACCTTCTGTATCTCATTCTGTATAGAGAACAAAATGTCCTGCAAGGACTGGCCAGTCAAGATGCCCTCACCACTACTCTTGAGGGTAAACACTGGGCTGGGCTGGGCTGTGCGTTCTCTGCCTTCTCTGATTCCCCCCTCCACTGAAGAGATGCTTCTTTCTCCTTTGAACTCCCAGGGCACTCCTTCTCCCCCAACCTGCTGGTTTGTTCTTCTATTTACTCTGAATGCATCTTGTATGTGCCTGTTTTTATGTACAGGTGGTCTCCCCCATCAGAGGCATGTTAAAAATGACTATTCTCAGCCTTGCTCCCTACTACTCCTGAGGAATGAACAGACTGCTGCCTAATGGATCTAGGCAGCAGGAGGCATGTTGCATAGAGGGTTGGACTTGGAGACAAGAAGACCTAAGTTAAGATCCTGCCTCAGAACTTTATGAGCTATATGATTCTGAACAAGTCACTTAAGGTCTATAGTAGTGCCAAGCCTCAGTTTCCTCACCTTTAAAACAGGAACAATAAAACCTATATAGGGTTGTTGTGAAGATCAAATAGGATAGTATATTCAAAACACTTTGGAAACCCTAAAGCATTATATTAACGCTAGCTATCCTGGTCCCCTCCTTCCCCACCCTATAGTGCTTTCCCCTCTAAGGTTACCTCCCATCTACTCTGTATGTGCCTTACATGTTCCTATTTATATCTATAACGTCTCTCCCATCAGCATGAGGGCAGAGGCTGATTTCACTTTTTTTCCCCCCTATACACCCAGGGTTTAGCACAATACTTGGCACAGAGCAAGCACTTAGTAAATGCTTCTTGACTGATCGCACTTAATGTATTTTGCCCCATATTATACTTACCTGTTTCATCTTCCCACTCAACTATAAATTCCTTAAGGTTGGGGAGTTATTATTTAATTTTATATCCCCCCCCGAGGTGCCAAGCTCAGTGTTCTACACACAGTAGAAGCTAAATAAATGATTGGTGAATTTGAATGACACTGAATGGACAAGGGGATTCTCTTTCCGTGGGGTAATGTTTCTATGTTTACTGAAGGAGTCCCTCTTGTATCAGTTATCCATGGGAATAAAGGCACCGTCCCAAAACCAAGGATCATAGGATTTAGAGCTGGAAAGGACTTTTGCTGTTCTTCTTCAGTCGTGTCTGAGTCCTAGGGTTCTTAGCAAAAAGTGAAGTGGTTTGCCATTTCCTTCTCTAGCTCATTTTACAGATGAGGAAATGGAGGCAAACAGTATTAAGTGACGCCGGGGGTCACACAGATAGTAAATGCCTGAGGCTACATTTGAACTCAGGAAGATGAGTGTTCCTGACGCCAGGCCCAGTACTCTTATCCACTCACTGAGTCACCTAGCTGCCCTTGGAAGGGACCTTAGAAATCACCTAATCCAACCTCTACTTGAAACACTAATTCCCTCTACCACATCCACAACATGTGGCTGTCCAGATTCTGCCTAATGATTCCAGTGATGGGGAGATTGCTTCCTGACAAAATAGGCCATTCCATTACTAGTCAATTCTAAATGATAGGTTCTCATACTGAGCCGAACCCTGACATGCTGTGATTTCCTCTCAGTGGCCCTAATTCTGTCCACTGGAGTTGTCCAATCCCCTAGGTTCATAGTATCACAGAATTTAAAGCTGGGGGAGACCTTACAGTACAAATGATCTAATTTCTTCATTTTATAGATGAGGAAACTGAGGCTGAGTGAAGTGAAAGGGACTTGATCAAAGGTATGTTCAACTAGCAGAGAAACCAGATTCTCTGACTCAAAATCCAGAGTTCTTTCTCCTACACCACCATACCTCTGACACCCCTGGGACTCATCATGGAGCATCTGACACTAGGGGCACCTTTGGCAGTATGGGAGTTTTTGAATGGAACAGATGGCTGATTCCTACCTGGTATGTTTCTATAGGCTTTGTTTCCATATTCAGATCCCAAACTTTGACCGTGAGGTAATCCCTGGTGAGCATGAACCTGCCACTGTGGCTGAATTTAACGTCTGACACCGAGGAGATGATTTCAGAGAAGAAGGATCTGTTACTGGGGTCTTCGGGTTCTTCGAAAACTGCGGAGGCAAAGAAATCAAGAACAATGACCTGAGAAAGTAAACTCTGTGAGGTCTGGCAGGGGCCATATTTTATTCCAATATTACCTTCTCCAGGAAGCCTTCCCAGATCCCTGGAGTCACGGGTGTTTCCATCGTGCTCAGAGTTCACAGAGTGTTAGTGTACTCAGAATTCAAATGCTAAGCAAAGTTATTATCTTTCACTCTTCAGATCTGCCAACGTATTCTGCTTTTACTCTCATTCAGTTATCATGGAATATTGTCATAGTGGGGATGATCTGGGCCTTGATTTGCTGGATGAGAGCACCTTTCATGGAGGGGGTCAGGTTCTCTGGCTTCTTGCTGAACAGCATGTGCTCTGCTGGGATAACATAGCAGACCAATAAGGAGTTCCCTCATAGAGGCAACGTACATGTTCCTCATCAAAGGACCAAAACGCCTGTCCAGATTTGTGGGAGGTGACCCTGTTCAGCAAGTCACGAGATTCCCCTGATCACTCCCCCCATTACACTGTACATTATCTATCTATCTATCTATCTATCTATCTATCTATCTATCTATCTATCCATCCATCCATCATCTATTTACCTATCTATCTACTTATCCATCTATCATCTATCTTTCTTTCTCTCTTATACCTCTATTAGACTGTAACTTCCATGATGGCAAGAACTGTGCTTTCTCCCCAGGTTGTATCTCCATTAATGTCTGGCACAGTATTCTGCACACAACAGGGGTTAACTAAATATACTGAATTGAAAGGCCTAATCCCTACGGTCTTTGTCAGTGACCTAGGTCTTACCATCCTATAAAAGCTTCCTCAGAGAGTTGTCCAAAAATGGAATGGGCTGAGTCAGGGAGTAATGAGTTTCCCATCATTAATGGTCTCCAACTAGAGGACGTGACCCTGGATGATATTATCCTCCTGTACATGATTTATGATTCTCCTATGAACTACCTCCTTGGATCCTCTCCTTGAGAAGGAAGGGCAGCTTAACGTAGCATCCAAGAGGCAGGGACCTTGGAGGTCATCTCAGCCAAGACCCTCATCTGATCGATGGGGAAACGTAGGGCTCAAATTCAGAGTTCCCAAAGCCCAGTCCAGCACTCTTTCCATTACATGCATAACATAAACCAGGAAGCCCAGGAACAGCAGTGGATCAGTTCCCCCAGACTCGACCTTTCCTCCATGTTCACTCACCACACCCTTCCTCCAGACTCATCCAGGGAAGCAGCCCTTGTGGAGATAAGACATGATAACTGTCCCTGCAGGTACAGAGCCCCTGCCTCCTCAGCAGCCATGCTACTGAAAGCCCAGAGATCAAAGCTCTCATCACCAAAGTCCTTGGCACCATCTGGTTCAACCTCAGAAACAGATACGGTTTAACGGATGGAGATAACACTGAAATACATTACCTTCTGCTTTGGCACTGTATTCTAATGACCACCAGGCCATTCTCCAACTTTTAGCTCAAAGCTCCTACCTGTGTTTGTCTCCCCCACTAGGATGTGAGCTCCTTAAGAGCAGAGTCTGGCTTTCTTTTCTCTTTACATCCCCAGTCCTTAACACAATGCTCAGTACACAGCAAGCACTTAATAAATGCTTGTTTCTTTCATTCATTTAAGACAGGGAACAAAAAAAATTCCTAGCAGGAATGAAACTTTCTAAATTCATAATGTTGAGAACACTTTTTATTAAAGCCCAGATAATTTAGAATTCTATAACAATAGGTTCTAGAAAACATTACACGTAGGATCCTGTGTTAGGAGCTGGAGGAGATACCAAGATGAAGAAGACAGAGTTCTGGGCTCATGGAGTTGACACACTAAATATGAATGGCTTCAGCAGTGCTGGGGACCTAATGGACATCCAACAAATATTCATAGAATGATGATGATAACGATAATAATAGTATTTATATAGAGCTTGAAGATTTGCAGGGTGCTTTACACACATCTTTCTTAGCCTCACGATAACCCTGAGAAGTAGGTGCTACTATTATCTCCATTTTACAGATGAGGGAACTGAAGAAGTTAAGTGACTTGCCCAGGGTCACTCAGCCAGTAAATGTCTAAGGCAGGAGCTGCACTCGGGGCTTCTCAACTCCAGGTCAAGCACCCTACTCACTGCACCACCTAGCCATCTGTAACTACAAATCACATTAACAACTGACAAAGGGTGTTCACATATGCCTTACTTCATCCTTACAAGAATTTTGTAAGGTGGGTAGTGGAGGTCTTATCCTCATTTTACAGCTGAAGAAACAGAGGCTCTAACATAAGGACTCACTCAGTTAGTAGGCGGAGGGGGCAGGATTTGAATCCAGGTCTTCTGAATCCAAGTCCCAAAGTTTTGGGACTTGGAGAAGCTTGATAATGACAAGACCATTTGATGCAGATGATAAGCATGGAGGAGACCTTGTGTGGCTGCGCACACCCTGCTAACCGTGGCGCAGAGGAAAACAAGCTACTTCAAAGAGAACAACTTCTCATCTTTTGCCAGACGTTTAAACAAATGCTTTTAAATAGCTCTTTTAAAATTCCCTGAGATGTTCAGCGGGGCAGATATCGGGTAATTATCTTGTCAGATTTTCAATAGGAGACTGATGAGCGCCACGCAATTATCATCTCTCACACCTCTTCCCTTGGATCTGTCCAAACTGTGTATTACAAATGGCAGAAATTCCAGCCTCCTAATTATGATGTGAAGTCCCCGCTAAAGGACGGGGAGAAGGACCCGACAAGGTTTTCTTATTTATAGCTATGAAGAGTTTTCAACTCACTTCTGAATTTCAACGCTGTCAGGAAGTTGGCTTTTTAAATCCACCACAGTTGACACATGGAAAACATTTTAGCTCTCCCTTCATGGGGGGAAAAACCCACCATAGCACATGCTCTGAAATCACTTTTCCCTTGAGTCCCAGGCCATAGGCACTTAGGGTGGGGGATATGGGGGAAGTGGGCGGGACTAAGAACTGGTACTTGAACACCTGGCTGAAACAGTCCAGTAGGGTGCACTGGCTTCAAGGAATCTGGGTCTTTGACCTAATCCTGCCATGCACATCACAGGCAGCTTTGGACTAGTTACCTTCCCCCTGGGAGCACTGTGACCTTCAGGATTCGGCATTGTTGTTGTTTTAACCTTTGAAAAATGAGACGCTTGAAAATAGGCCCTGGTACAATGAAAAGTACACTGAGTTTGAAGTCAGAGACTCTATATTGAGGTCCTCGCCCAGACACTGCCTGGCTGTGTGACAACAAGCAAGTCCCTTCCCCTCTCAGGGCCTCAGTTTCCTTTTCTGTAAAATGAGGATAGTTACTTGTATTCCCTTCCTAACTCCAGGATTGGTGTCAGGAAAGGGATTCACAAATCCTAAAGCATTATATAAATGTGATCAATTACTTGTGACGATAACTATGAACTCCAAGCTTTTCTAGATTCTCCACCTGATGGTGCCTTCCCCACCAAATGTTCTGGTAGCTATTTGTTATGTTTTGTTTTAAACCTGGTTCTGTTGCTTAATTTTTTTAATTAAATTTTTATTTTTTTACTTGTCAATTTCCTTGTATCGATTTTTCCTTGTATCAATTTCCCTGAATATCTAGATGTATGATCATGTTATCTCTCCCCTTGGCTAGACTGTGAATCCTAGAGGCCAGGGATCGTTTCACATCTTTGAATCACTGGCCCCTTGAATAAATGCCTGGCACATAGTAGGTATTGCTTGATAGATTCTAACTCTAAGATACTTTGACTATAAGAATAGTGAGATTCTGTAGGATTTGTTTGAAATTCTAGTCAGGTTAAGTTTGTGATTAATAATAATAATAACAACACCTAGAATGTATATAGTGCTTTAAGGTTTACAAAGCACGTAACGGAATTACCTCATTTCATCCTCAGAACAACCCTGAGAGGTAGGTGCCATTATATTATCTCTATTTTACATAAAGGGAAGTGGAGGTAGGCAGCAGTTAAGTGACTTTCCCAGGATGACACAGCTAAAAAGTGTCTAAGTCTGCCTTTGAACTCAGGTCTTCCTAACTCCAGGCCCAGTGCTCTATGTACTGTCCCACCTGGCCACCTCTAAGTCACCTAGACACCTAATTCTACAGGGTGGGTAACGAACTTCAAAGAATCTCTTAGATCCCAACAAAGGGAAAAGAATGAAGACCGATCTGTGATGGTCATCTGTGGGTCAAAATGAGAAAAGAGGAAGTCTGGTGAAAGGGGGAAAAGGGGAAGAGGCTACAAACCCATAGGAAACCTCCTTTTACCTGAAGATCTCAGGTTCCATGGCTCATGTGCTTACTTTGGCTTTTCTCTTTAATGAACCTTGGGGCAAAGGATAATTTAGTTCATAAACACAACACAGCCAGGCCCTGCCTGTGCCTGGGAATCTGACCAGACAAACCACCTCTTGATTGATTCATTAGCCTTCTGGCACCCCAGGCTACTGCCTCAACACTGCCAGCCTTTCTCCAAATCACAGCAACATGGCCGATTGGGGAGCTGGGGGCTGTACCAACACAAATTGTGGGCCTTGAACCTTATCATCACCAGACCTCACTCTTATTCATCCTAGACTCATTCCCCCATAGCTAGAATACTTCCACTGTCTCTTATTCCCCCCCATCCCTGTGAACCCCTAGCTACAGATGAGCAACTCTAATTCCCAACTTCGGGCTTTGACTCGCTCATTTCTATCCCCCTCAAGCCTCTCCCTCAGCTCAATCCAACATTTCCCACTCCAGATCTGCTCATCGCCTCCACTGTGGAGCACCTGCTCCATAATTAACAAGCTTGTGTTCATCTTAAACCTCATTCTTTTTCATTCCTTCCATCTTTTGGTAGGTACTATAGGTATTATTCCCATTTTACAGATGAGGAATCTGAGGCTCAGAGAAATTAAGTGACTAGCCCATGGTCACACAACTAGGAAATGTCAAAGGAGAGCCTTGAACCTAGCTGTCTCCCTGCCCCAAGTCAGTAGAGACAA